TTGGAAGCCATCGCTATATTAGGTTGGAAGCCATCGCTACTAGGTTGAAGGCCATCGCTACTAGGTTGGAAGCCATCACTATTAGGTTGGAGGCCATCGCTACTGGGTTGGAAGCCATCGCTATACTAGGTTGGAAGCCATCGCTACTAGGGAGGAGGCCATCGCTACTAGGCGGAGCCCATCGCTATTGGGGACATTTCACAGAAATATATAGAAATATGACACACACACACACTTTTAAATGCAAAAATGAAGAGACAACGTCAACGATGAGATCGTTTTTCTGGGTTTAAAAGATAACAAGAGGAAAGAAAGACAAATACTATTCACAAGGAAAACATATGCACAAATCATTCCACGCAATCTTCTCCAGAGATTTTGCAGGATAATGGATGCGTGTTGCATCCAGCTGATCCTTGCTGGTTTTGATGACTGAGGTGGACAGTCTTAGCTTCGAATACTATCTCCTTCCACTCCGACAGACTCTTGGACAAATGTTAGTTTCAGCTGCTGAGACAGTGCTGCACTTGTTACTAGTAGCGGTGCACTTGTTCCTACTAGCGTCCTTGTTACTACTAGTAAGGCACCTGTTACTACTAGCGTGGCACTTGTTACTACTATTTGTCGGTCTTTGAATTCACAAACCATGATGTTAGCCATGTCAGCTTGGCAAGGAACATCACACTCTCCGTTGGAGATGGAGGCGGCCTGAAATTCGTCCAACTCTCTGCACAACTGTCAAGGCTTTGAAAATAAGGAAAAGGAAACGGTCTAAAGGTCTAAGTCGAAAGAATAAGAACAGCTTCTTTAGACACAAATCCCCGGCGCAACTTCGACTCAAGGCTTTCAGGTCCACTCAGCTTGGCAAGTGAAAAGAACATGGACACCTTTTGTTTTGTACTCCCATAAACTTCTTTTGGCCCTACTAGGCGCTGGTTTCCAACCTAGTAGCGTCCTTGCTAGTAAGGCCAGGAGCTACTAGTAGCGTCCAACCTACTAGGCCCAACCCTACGACGCCTACTAGTACCTGCTCAGCACCGTCTGTGCTCACCGTCTGCCAGGATCGCTGGCGATCGATGGCACCTTCGTGCCACCCATGGTGGCACCTTGGAGACGACAGGGTGACCAACCGCGGTGTGAGGGACCGGACGACCGAACGAAAGAGGAAAGAAGAAGTGGTAAACGAAGTGGTAAACGAAAAGAGCAGAACAAAACTCTTCTAATTGAATTGCAAAAGATTTAACACACGGTGTCTAGACACATAATACAAAAATATTTGACAACAGAAACAATTCATGCTTTTTTGCAGTTTTATTGCTTTTTGCGCACTCTTATTTGTTTCATCACGGATTGGAAGAAAATTAGGGAAGGCCAGCAGGGCAGGCTTCGTTTTGTGCGTTCAAGAAAGCTTCTCCGGCTTCTTTGTCGAAATGGTTTCTAGACTAAAGGATAGTATTAGAGGATAGTATTTTAAGCATGTTGTTTCCAGTGGTTCTTTGTCTTCAATTCTATTTTCTTAGACTCCATTGGACGTGTCTTTTTTTCTTCTCTTCAAGGCCAAGATCGCGTACCTTTTAGCGTTGATTCACAACAATTGTTAAGAAAGGACATACAAGATTGCACTCTTGTGTTTCCAGACAAAGGCTGCGGCTACACAAAAAGCTTCCAAACAATTGCTTAGTAGCCAGATGCAACTTGGAACCTGTTTTCTGAACAAGAACGTGTTCTTTGCTGATGCTGAGGATTATAAGCTTCTTGTTACTAGTAAGGCCTGGAGCGCCCCGTTCGTAGCTTCAGGAGCCCCGATCGTAGCAATGCCCTTAGTTCCGTTCGTAGCGTTGCTTGACGAGGACTATACCAACTCCACCAGTCCCAACTATTGGGCGAAATTGGGTGGAAGCGTCGGAGGGACGTTCCTGGCGAACGTCACCGACCCCTCGGCCGCACTTTGGGATCTTCAGGCTCGGGGGCGGAGGTCGCTACTACCGGCAGGACGCATGAAACAAGGGCATCGCTACTAGGAACAAGTGCATCGCTACGAGTAACAAGAAAGCTATTAGAAACAAGAAGCTACTAGGAACAATCGCGTGAGAGCTCGCGCTTCTTCAAAGAAACTACTTATATACCCCTTCCTACTCGGCTAGTTAAGTCTAATAGCGATGGCCCTAATAGCGTTGGCCTTCACCCTACCTCGTTTCACTCCGGGAATTGAAGGTGTTAAAGACACGGAAGGAGGACATGCTCTAGATGGAAAGGCGCTTATTAGGGTGAGGTGGCATTCCAGACTTAGGAAGAAAGGAAGGAAACAAGAAAGAAACAAAGGTCTGAAGAAAAGGGCAAAAAGAAAGGAAACACAGAGAAAAGGTGAAGAAAGGAACGAAACTTAGGAATTAAAGTCTGCCGTGTTTTGTCACTCTCTTGTTCCAGTCTTACTCCTTTTTGTTACTCTTTGCATTTAAAACAAATGTACATGGAGATGAGGAGATGTTCTATCGCTACACGGACGAGAGTCTTGCCGCTTCGCTGATTCGTCTCTGTTTCCTCAAAACACAAAATTGCTAATACTTAGCATAGTAGTAATGAGGTTACTGACAGTTCCTGACTGACAGTTCCTGATTCGCAATACAGTCGAAACCTGCCAGATTGCAGCTGGGTCCTATGTTATGGCAGTGGTTGCACGTGACAGATTAGGACCGGGCTCCACTTGCACATGCCGCCTGTACTACTCTTTACCACTTTACTAGAAGTATCACAATAATACCTGGACGTCAGGTCCAATCCAATCCAGTACAGCCTGCTGCACAAAGTGTTATGTTTGGCTCCATCAGTCTTCTGACAAATGCACGTGTTTTTGGCAAGTGAGTACCTTGCGCCTTGCTATGCAGGAGCTGTGTCCGCAGCATATGCCCCTGGACCTTTGGTGGAACTTCCCGCAGGCAGGGAGCGGCAGAGCAGCAGAGCCGGGCAGAGCCGGGCAGAGCGGAGATTGGGAACTCCAACCTACTAGCGATGGCCTCCAACCAGGGAGCTGGTCTTGCCACTATTCAGACTCTTTTCAAAATCCACTTCCCAGGCTACGAACGGAACAAGAGGACGCTACGAACGGGGCTCCTGGCCCAAAACCACGAACGGAGCGATCGGACGCTACGCGAACCGAACGGCTCCCTCCCAGGCGGTGTGACTGCGGACATGGCACTTCGATTCCTGGATTTAGCTCTCGCGCGAAGTGATGAGTTTCCTATACTGCACACCTTGGATTCGATCGCTTCAGTGGACGTGGCTGCTTGGACAAAGAGTGGGTCTGCTTGTGCGAGAAACAGAACATGTCTAACAGTCGAAAGAAAGAAAGAAAAGCGTACTCCTAGTAGCAAAGGAAAGCAACTAAGACGAGATAGCAAGGCTTCGCAAAGCGGGCTGTCCGCCGCCATGCGCCCATGCGCCCTCGTCTCAGATCACCAACAACTCGGCCGAATTGGTGGCAGTCATCGAGAAGCAGACGGAGGCTCATCGCGTCCTTGTGAGCTGAAGTCGACGTCCTGTGCGTGTGGTATTGAAACAAAGTCCTCAGTGCTAGAGAGGTCCTTTGTATTCTCTCAGATTGTCCACCCGGTCCACTGTTTTATCTCTAGACTTACATTCTGGTGGCAGTGATAGTTTTGGAAGGATAGGAAGGGCATTCTCGCAGAAGAGGGCCGTTCAATCGTTCATCTCTCGGAGAGCCATTCACTCTTCACAGGAAGAACAACGTTTCTTCTTTGTTTTTTTCATGTTTTTTGTTCCTCTAGAAGTGATGGCCTCCAACCTACTAGCGAGGGCCTCCAGGCAATAGCTTTCCTTTCGTTATTTTTTTCGATGAATCAGTAACAAGAAGCTACTAGTAGCTCCTCGCATCGCTACTAAGAACAAGAAGCTACTAGGTTCATTGGAAGATTCCGCCACGGGCTTCCGCAAGGCCGTAGGCGCAGCGGCAGACGTCATGGGGCCATCTATGGAGAGTGGCTCGGCGAAAAAAGGAGAATCGGTCCAATTGGCCTCCCACCTCGACGGCAGCGACGGCCTCCAACCTAATAAAGTCTATATGTTTTGTTGAGATGTGTTTTTCAGTGTTGTTTTAGGAGTGCTTCTGAAGTTAGCTCTCTCTCTCTCTCTCTTTCATGTTTGTGCGGCATGTCGCTTGTCTTGCGCTTGTCGTCAACTTCCTGGATGGCAGTGGATTGGGGTTCATGATCTGAAACCGTTTGGGCAAGAAAATATCTCTCATCTTCAATGGCCACATTGGCCATATGTTGTCGGCGGTCCCAATTCATTGGGCATGTTTTCATGCGAGAAATCCACCCGAAAGCACTTGCTGAAAAGTGTGCCACCCAACTTGACATGATAACTGGCATGGAATACGATCGCTTGAGCAAATGCAAATTCATCACCATACGTAGGTCGTACCCAGCTCTAGAGCTGAGTGCACAAAAGGTCATCGCTGAAAGTGGACTCAGAACAGACTGCTGAGAAGCACGAGAAACGAGCTGCCCGATCTCAAGGGGTATCCGGGATCCGTGGTAATGCACGGTGCCCTTAGGTGGCCAACTTATCGAGGGCCAAACCGTGGTAAAATCCAGAACCCGAAGCCTTTTTGATTCCTCCGCATCCAAAGCCAACTTAATCGATTAGAAGCCAGTGAAGAGGCCACCAAATAAGATGAATCGAATTAAAAGTGCGTAGTCGTAGTCTTGTTGCCAAGTCTTTTTTAAGACTGTTTCCTCCATTCAATCAACGTGGAGCTGGAAAGATTCCTTTCGCCACTGAGTCCGTTCTTGGCCTTTTCCAAGCCTGTGTTCCGTTCTTTTCTGGATCTTCTGAGGTTTCTTGAACCTTCCTTTCGAACCTTCCGTTTTTTTCAGGTCCTTCTTTTTTGCAAACCGCGCCCTTTCGTTCGCGTCGGTTTGCATGTATTTCGCATGTTAGGTTCGTAGCTTCTTGTTCCTAGTAGTAAGGCCAGGAGCGCCGTTCGTAGCGTCCGATCGCTCCTTCTGGTCTGCAGGTCTCATCACCTTTGGTGACGTTATGACCCGGGTGCTGCCCACAACGACCGCCTCCGCTGAAGTCACTGCCACCAGCAGCGCAGCACTGACGGCCGTCACGGAACAGGTCTCCACTGCTGTGGAAACAGCACTGGATGTGCCGCGGAGAATGAACTGATGAAAAGAACAATTTCTTGTATCTTTTTTCAATTCCTTTCTTCTTCTTTTATGTTCTTTATCTCAAAGTGGAGATGAGGATTTTTGACCGGGGCATGTCTTTCTGAACTTCTCGGAGTGAGAAGAGCATGGGAGCATCCTATCGATGGCCTCCACCCCAGTAGCGATGGCCTCACCACCCAAACAAGTGTTTTCTCTCCGTTTGTCTTGTGATCTTTTTGCTTTTATCTGTTTGAATAGTTTAATCACGCATCCTTCGAGTGTGCCAGCAGTTGCATGTTGGGTAGGTTGTTTGGAATCAGTTCTTGACATTCGGAGTCTGGAAAAGGTTTTCAAAACCCTCTCCCTCCAACCCACGGGCGCCGTGACTTTGAATCCAGTAGCCCCCACAAGTAGCAGCTGAAAAGCTTTGAAGAGGTAGATACTGTCGATAGCCTCCTAAGAGCGATGGCCTCCAACCTAAGAGCGGGCTAAGGTGCCAGCGAATGGAATTACTGATCATTACTACCTTTCCATTGCCCACACCGCTCACTGAGGTCTCGCTTTCATTTCAAGGCTGGGCCGTAGCACATGAGTGGCACAAAGTGGCAAAAGACTCTTTTCGAAAGAACATGAACACCTCTTTTCACATGAACAAACAGGTTCTAGTTCTGAATTTTAGAGGTAAGAAACAACTTCATCTTCTTTTGTTTGAGATTTACCTGAAAACCATTTCAGTTTGTTGCACATGCACACAAAAGACACCAAGCAGACAGAGTGTCGTGAAGTCTTCTTTTTCGAAAGAGGGGTGATGCCCGCCCTGGGTTCACGACCAAGGCGTGAACCCTGCTGCCGGCTTGTCGCTGTTGCGTGCCACCTCCGCGGTGGCCGAAAGCTTCCAGAGTGTCAACAGCTCGACAGTGGAGCGTGAAGCGCAAACCGCCAAGCTGCAGACGCTGGTGTCCCGGTGAAAAGGGGTGGATACTGGGTGCAAAGGCACTGCGAAGACGTGAAGCTGCTCCGGTGACAGGCGAACTAGATGTGATGTTTGATGTTTGTGCCAACTTTTGTGGCGAACGGGTGTTCTCCTTTCTGATTGTCCTGTCTTTCTTGCTTGTGGAACTGGCCCTCAGAAAGGATTGAAGAACCCGTGGAGAAATCTTTAGTCACACACTTTTCACTTTTCCTCTTCCTAGCGATGGCCTCTTTCTAGATCAAGAAAACTTTATTGAGCGATGGCCTCCACCCTAGTAGCTTCCTGTTTCTAGAGATCAAGATCGCACTTGAGCACTTCGTTGAGATCGTCGTGCACTCCGTGCAACTCACTGTGCTGAGTTCTCCAAGCTGGGCACCGCACTGTTGCTGCAGCTGGCTGACGGCCAGACCACGGAGATCGCCTCTGTGGCGAGCGACGGCACGGGCACAGAGACATGGCGGTTTGTTCCAACCTCGCGTGGTGAGGTTTTTTGCTTCAGAAAAGACCAACGAAACACTTCACAGCACCGAACACGAAACAAGCAACACAGTAGAAAAGTTTGAAAATCGGAGTCGCGCCAAAAGGACCAAGAACCGGAAAACGTGGTTTTTGGCCACTCCAAGTAATCAGTGGTGGTAATTTTATGCTGGTATCCTCGGAGTTGCTTTCCTTATCAACCTCGATCAACGGACAAGGGGAAAGCAACATGTTCAGCGCTGCTTGGCTGGGGACCCCTTCGCTGTGGCCACAAAAAACGGCGGATTGTTGTAGAGGCGGCCTAAGAAGCTACTTAATTGAGCTTAGTAGTTTGTAGCGTCGCTCCGTTCGTAGCGATGCCGCCCCTATTGGCCCTAGCAAACGACTCGAAGACCTGCAAATTGGATTAGTGCTAGAACCTCTTTGCTGGCTACGGCCTCGAATCTTCCGACTTTCTTTGGAGTAGGTGCCCTTTTGGAAGAGCGCGCCGATTCTGGAACAATTTTCACGTAGTACATCAAAAGAGGAAAAGGAGAAAGAAAGGTCTAAGGCCTAAAAAAAAAAGGAACCAGTCAAGTTTCCTATAATCTAATAAGAAACAAATTTAACACATCAAGATTTGAAGACCTAAGACTAGGTCTAACTACGTTTTCTTGCTTTTCACGTGCTCTCGTTTCTTGATGTTTTTGTTTTACTTCGTTTGTGTTCAGGAACTTTCCGTCTTCAAGGAGTTGGCGAGCACAGCTGCCGAGTTTGGGATCACCTCCCTGGACACTCAGGCAGCGGAAGATGCAGACGTGACACGAAGAAAAACAAAAGAAAGACTTGTTTTTTGAAGCTACTAGTAACAAGTGCATCGCTTCTACTAACAAGTGCCTTACTAGTAGTAACAAGGGCATCGCTACTAGGAACAAAGGGCATCGCTACTAGGAGCAAGGAAGCTGCTAAGAAAGACTTGTTTTTTGAAGCCCGGGGGGGGTAGGCCGCTCGTAGCTAGAGGTAGCTAGTAGCGGTAGCTGGCAGCTAGTAGCAGAGGTAGCTAGTACCCACGGCTACTACTTAGGACGCGCGTTTTTGATTTGGCTCCAATTTGAGGGAAACTTAAGGTGTTAGTTCCCCAATAGCAATGGCGTCTTCCAACCTATCGTTTCTCTTAGCAATTCTATTCTTTCTCTTTCCTGCTACGACACTGAAGCATTGTGTATGGAAGGCACTATTGTGGCCTCTAGAAATTTGGAGCTACTTTGCTTGATTGCTTTCGTGAAAGAACTCGATTTCTTCAATGACCTCCAACCTAGAAGCAGCCACCCTAAGATCCATGCCCAACACTGAGATTCCGGGCTCAGCTCTGGGCCGGCGGTTGCAAAGCGAGTGCAACTCTTTGGCTGTGCAGACCATGACCTTCCTGCGCAGTTCCGCGGCGCGAGTGTCGCAAGTCCGGGCGAGTGAACGAAAAACGCGACGAACGATGAACAAGTGCCACGCTACTAGTAACAAGTGCCTTACTAGTAGTAACAAGAAGCTATTAGAAACAATAAGCTACTAGGCATCCTCTTACTCCGTGAGTAGCGATGCCCTTTTGCTCCTAGTAAGGCCAGGTGTCCCGATCGAAGCATTCGAACGCTACTTGTAGTGAAATCTTTCTAGAAACAAATTGATAGCGATGGCCTCCAAACTAATAACTAGTGGATTCAAACCAAGAAAGGCTGTTTTAAAGAACGTATCCCAAACCGAAAACAATAGCTAGAGCCGAAATATTAATATGTCTTGCTTTGTTGATTCAGGCCTCATGGCCGAGTGTGCTTAGAACGATGCGAGAGTCGCCGACCTGGAGTGTCTACTCCCAAGCCACCAGTCCACCTAGAAACATCTAGAAACAATTCAATCAGATAGGGGTTTGGGGAGGGACTATTTAAGGAGAACCCCTGCTGTTGGAGTAGGACTCTTGACGCCTTTGATTGCCATGTTGATAGGGTGGATTTAGCAGTCATGACGGCAGCACCGCTGTGCAAGTTGTTGGCCTGTTGTCCATGTCTGTGTGAGGCAATCCCTTCAGCTACCTGTTCGAAAGCAGCTTGGTGAGTTCAAAGAGTTTGACAAAACATGCAAAGCAGAGTTTGGAAACAAGCAATCCAAGTCGCTTCAGCCACGCCTTTCCATTGCATAGAGTCGAGTTCCTTTTGCAACTTCAGGGCTGGAAAGTTAGAGTTACTTTGTTGGCCCTCCTTAAAAGGCGTCCTTTGTGCCAAAGAAAGGAAGGAGAACATTGCGACCGCACAGGGGGCCACGCTAAATCTCAGGACCCAGTTGACCCCGGCGAACCACCACCACCACGACGACTACTCCTACCACTACCACTCACACAAAGTCAATCGGGTCAACTGGATCAACTGGGTTCAACCGGGTCAACTGGGTCAACCGGAACACCCCGTTCAACTGGGCAGCAAATTTACCAGCCCCCTATGCCGACGCACTTAAGGAGAACAGAAAAGGCGAGGAGAAAAAGAAAGAAAGAAAGAATCCGAGCCGCTTCACAAGACAACATATGTTAGTAATCGTTAGACCTGTTCTTTCTGTTTCATCCTTTTTTGTCCTAGAATGTTTTTTTTTCAAGTTTGAATGAGGCGATTTGGGTCTGAACCGCTATGTGCACCCAAATGCCACGGTGAGTTCGCTGGAGATCAAGCGCTGCGACACGTTGCTCGAGCGGTCGAACCTCGATCCGCCTATCACCATGAAGCTGCCGCTGTAGCTTGGCGTTCGAAAAAGACGGAACCCTTTTTGGAGGCCATCACTAGTAGGTTCGAGGCCATTGCTAAGACAAGAACCTTGAGGACTTCATCACGATTCAAGAGGGAGCACAATGGGGTTTTAGCCAAGTCTAGTTCTTTTGGAGTTTTAGGCGTGTTCTTGTAGCACGAATCCAGAAGGTCGTGAAAGCCAGAAAAAAAATAAAGGTCCAAAGTCTTGCAGTTACAAATTGAAGAAGTAAGATCGCAAAAGTTTAATTAGTCAAGGAAGTGCTTCCCGACTCAAGAATCGAAGCTTTTCTTGCGAACGAAAAGGAAAACAAGATCAAGTAAGAAAACAAAAGGAGGGCAGAAAACAAGTTCTTACAAGAACTCTGTTTCTTTAGGATGCTTTGTTACTACTAGTAACAAGGACGCTACGATCGGGGCGCTCCTGGCCTTACTACTAGGAACAATGTTCGCTACGAACGTAACAAAGGGCATCGCTACGAACGGAGCGATCGGACGCTACGAACGGTTGGAGGCCGTCGCTAAGACTTGAAGCCTCAGGAACCCAGCATTTTGTACGTGTAAAAAATGCATTCTAATAATTAAACGTTAATTAAGCTTAATTCTAATAGTAACAAGGAGCTACTAGTAACAAGTGCATCGCTTCTAGTGACAAGTGCCTTACTAGTAGTAACAAGAAGCTAGTAGTAAAGGATGCTATTCTTCCTTTTTATTGTTTCTAATAGCTTCTTGTTACTACTAGTAAGGCACTTGTTACTAGAAGCGATGCACTTGTTCCTAGGTTGGAGGCCGTCGCTAAGACTTGAAGCCTAAGGAACCCAGCAGTTGGAAGCCCACCAGATGGCTATTCCTTTGAACCAGCGTGCGTGCGACTGGATAAGCAAGAGGGGCTCTCACAGGCTGGAAGTGGGGTGCTTTTGAAGTCGTGAGAAGAACTGCTTGGAAGGACAGAGAAAAAGAAAGTAAGAAGGGAAACAATAAAGGAAGAGGCATGACAGTGCTTAAAAACTAAACGTCTAAAGACTTGCTTTTTGTGTCCAAAAGCCTCGCCGATGAAATTGCTTTAAGATGTGGCAAGGACATAGATCGCGTGTGTCTTTCTTGGCTTTTCTCTTGAGACATTTGCTGATGTTGCTTTTTCGATGGTCCTCAAAAAAGTAAATATATATATATAGATGCTAGCCCCCAAAAAAACCACCTGCTATTAAATTATCTCGACTACCAAAGCAGCAAAGTACCAAAACTGCAGACCCCATGACCTGACCATATCCACTCTGGCGACATATGGGGCGGACGTGGGCGTCCAACGAAAGGGGATTTGTAGGCAACGGCTAGTGGTTAGATTAGGAGTGAACTGGATAGGAATCAGCACCTTCCTCGTCTCCAGGTGAGCCGGTCGTCAGAGGGTTTCCGTGGCGCTTGTGTGAGCCTGCGCCAAGGTTGTTTTTCTCTGGCGTTGGCTTGGACTTGTTCTTTTAAAGCCCCACCATCCCTCCGCTTGGGGGATGGTTTCTCGTTTTGGCCTTGTAACTTGTTGACCAAAGGCTAGTCTTGCTTTCCTTGGTTGATTAGTTTGTTTGGCATGGGCTGGATTGTTTGTGCCGGCTTGGGGCCACAGGTCTTCCCACTCCAAAGGGTCAGAACCAAAAAACAAGGAGAGCTAGAGCTGAAGGGTCACCCTGGTTGGGAGCCTTTGTGCCGAAACATGTGTGGACCCCTTTCTTCGAATAGGGAGACTTACTTGGGAGCTGTTGTTCGTTTTTTCGGATGAAGGTTGTGGGCATTGTGCCGGCTTCCTTTTCTTTTGAGTTGCTGGCAAATCTCAGGTCTGTGCAGTTTTGGTACTTTGGTACTTTGATTCCCGAGGTCATGGGGTCTGCAGTTTTGGTGTTTTGGTACTTTGGTTCCCGAGGTCATGGGGTTGCAGATTTGGTACTTTGGTACTTTAGGCCATCGGGTGTGCAGTTTTGGTACTTTGGTACTTTGGTTCCCGAGGTCATGGGGTCTGCAGATTTGGTACTTTGGTACTTTAGGCCATCGGGTCTGCAGCTTTTGTACTTTGGTACTTTGTTAGGTTCCCTCTCGCAAACCAAAGCACAAGAACTCCCAAACTGCACAAACCCCATGGCTTGACCTCAGCCACTCTGGGGACATAGATCTGTGCAGCTTTGGTACTTTGGTACGTTGGTCTTCCCTCTAAAACCAACATCCAAAATCCCAAAACTGCAGTGCCCTGGCCTGAGCCACTTTGGAGACATAGGGCTGTGCAGTTTTGGTAACCCACGATACCGCAATATCAAAACTGCAGAGCCCATAAATATTTAAATGACATTTACAATGGTACTAAATTAGAATTGGATGCAAATTCAATGAACTTAATTAATCAAATTGGAGATTGAAACTAAACTTCAATCAGAAATCAATAGATTCCTTTTTGAATTCAACCAGGTTCAAATGCGAATTTGTAATTCTAAATTGCAATTAAGTCAGACCTAAATAGTAATTAAACTATAGTTCAATAGGGTTATATAAAGGATCATCAAAAGCTTTATTTTTACAAAATCATGTCAATTGTGATTAACAATTAAGCTTGAGTTGTATAACGGTTAAAGTAGAATTGAAGTAGATGGAGTTTGAAGTTCATTGGACATACAAGAAACTTTTACATTTCAATGACAACTTGATTATTTTTCAATTCAAACCTAAATCAACTTCCAATAAAAATTTACAGGCTGTGCAAAAGCCCAAAGGACCAACGCACAAACAAAAACAAAACCGCAAAAAGAAAAACCTGTTAGAAGAATGTTTGGTTCAGCATCAAAAATGTTTTGGTTTCCGTTGTGATGTTTTGTTTTTGTTTATGAAATCCAGAAGCCCAAAAAGAAGTTTTCTTTGACGTTTATTGTACTAGAATGCTGCCAAAAGCCAAAAAGACTGAATGTTGTTTTGTGATTTTATTTTTTTGTTTTGCTTTACTCATAGCAAATAAGCAAAAACAAAAACATTTTGTTTGTTTTTGATGGTTTTCTTTAACCAAAAACCGTTGAAAAAAAACATAAGTTTTTTGTTTTTGTTAAAAACGCAATGGGAACCAAAAACATCTTTTGAGGCTGAGCCAAACATTCTCTTTAATGGTTTTTTGTTTTTGGTTTGTTATTTTGTTGCTGGTTGTCATTAAGAATATATGTTTATGTTGTTTTTGAATTGTAAAGAGCATTGTGTCTATTACATCTTATATAAGTCTTTTATACAAAAAATATGCATAAAACATTGTAAATACAAGTAAATTTGATGAAAGTTATGTTTTTTGGGTACCATATATATATATATTATGTTTGCTAGGCTAGAAGCGCTTTTGTCGCCAAAAAACTTCACATCGTTTGCTTTCTTAAGTCTTCATTTTTGGCTTAGCTGTCGTTTACCGGATCCCAACTGCTTTATTCAACGCCTGAGCCTCGTGTGACACTCAGTTGGCCGCACTTATGGCAAGTAATGTAGCCAGTGTCTTCGTCCCTGACACACTCGCCTGGTATTAGTGTATTCTTGGTCTTCGTGTCTCAGTCACACCCGTTGTGGTTGCATGTCCACAGCATCGATCACTCTAGGAACAGACAAAGAGAAAGAGTATGAAAACTAAAACAAGCAAGGACGCTACTAGGGGATCCTGGCCGTACTACTAGGAGCAAGTAGCTACTAGTAACAAGAAACTACTACTAAACAGCAGCGGGACAGGTGCCACGAGGACGTCCCATGGGCGCCCAACAAAGCTTCAAACACATGAGACCTTTAGTTATTGTGTTGTGTTCCCTTATTTCTGAAGAAACACATCAAAGGTCTTTCCCTTTTGGTTGGAAAACAGGTAGATTAGGCTGAAGACGAAGCTAACAAAGCTGTAATTTTTTGGGACACAGAAGGGTTCAGGGAGCTACTAGTAGCGTCCTTGCTCCTAGTTGAAACTGTTCCGTGCAGGCTTGGACATCTGCGTCAGTGACTTGGTTGCTTCCCTCATCCATCGAGGCCACTTCCATCGAGTGCTTTTCCACCGAGTCTGGTGGGGTCTTTGCAGGCATCTTCCTGCCGGTCCTTTTGCCTCAGACCTCCACGACAACGCAGACATCGCAGACCACCGCGAGAGGGCAGAATTTTGCTGCCTTCCCAAGTCCACAGGATGAAGGTGCAGAAGGAGGATTTCTGGCAGGTTCTATTCTTGCTGGATTTTCCCTGGTGACGGTCTGCGGGATCATCATGTGGCAAGTCTATCAGGGCAATGTGTCTGTTGCCAGACCTGACCTATCTTGGATGGGCAAACCATGTTTCAGGCAGACAGCCCCCTTGAAGCCAGAGACAGAGATGAAGCCTGATGTGAAGCCAAAGCAAGCTTGGGCAGAAACGGAAGAAGTGGTAACTTGGCCAAATTCGGTCGTCTTGAGCCTGAAATTCCCCAAGGTCTCCGAGTAAATGGTTTTGGTGTTGACGATGTTCGAGATGAGAAGAGGCCAGATTCAGGCATAAGATTATGTCGAGTCGAGAAGCATGAATTGTTTTCAATAAGGGAAGGTATAAGGAAGGGCAAGGGAGGGTACAGAAAACCCACCCATACACGTCCCGACAGAAGTCCCTACACGTAGAGTTAGTCCCACCCTACACGTAGAGCCCCTACACGTAGAAGTCCTAGTAGCTTCTAGTTTAAATTCGATTTAATCGGAATTCTAATTCAATTCTAATTATGTTTAATTCAATACTAAATGTTTTTGTTTCTAATTTGGAACCCCCAGCTACACAAAGGAAGTTCGTTTGTTTCGCGAAGTCAACGAAGGTGCTGCAGAAGCAGAAGCAGAGGGATGCCGAGGAGAACTTCTGGTCTTGGGTCACCGACCTGACGCAAAGCTCTCCCAGCCGCAGTTTGGGTCAACCTGGGCCGAGAGTTATGACTCCAGGCGAGTGGGGGTTTAGTTCACAATCAAAAATTGTTTAAAAAAGAAGAAAAACGACAAACAAAAGAAAGGTCAAAATAAAAGAAACAAAACAAACGAAACACAAAAGAAAATAACACAATGATTCCAGGCGTCAGGGGCCCACCATTGCCCCCCCTGCCACCTTTGCCTTTTGCGGTCTGGCAGCAATCGGACAAGGAGGACTGTTCTCCTGTTTTGCTTTTTCTGTTTCAAACCTATCTTGTTCTTCTTTGTCTTCTTGCTCTCGTTCTTTTGGTGCGGCGGATATGCAAAACCTTGAGTCTTTTGATTTTAAATGGGTTCAAGTTCCATCATGCTCCCCAAAGTGAGCCGAAATGGACCTCGTGACTGTGAATCTCAAGAGATCTTTGGGCCCGTTGGACCTGTCTCATGTCCCATTCTGGCCCATTCTTTCTTCCGCTTCAAGACGACATGAACAAATGACCAGAAGTTCACATTAAAGACTTGCCAGGAGCTTACCTACTCACAATCTGAAGTGTCCCCCAAAATCAACCAATTGAATAGTGCGAGCGCTTCTTCAAGGAAGCTCCTCCCTGCTGCCTTTAGGGCCGCGGGGGCAGCTTCCTTGAAGCAGCGTGAGCTATCCTGCGTCCAGTCGGTAGTACCAGTAGCTAATGGCTTCCTTTCTCCCTAGCAGCATAAACTTGTTGGCCCAGACCTCTCACGGCCTATCCCCTCCCCTAAAACCGCCAGGAGTACTTCAACAACTTCGCGGAGGAGCTGCGGCAGAGCGCACCGCCACCGCCGCCGAAGCGTCCGGCGCTTGGCTCTGTGCCTAAGCCGCCGCCGCTGCCAGTGGAGCGGCCGATGTCGCCCTTCCCACCCTACGTGAACGCCTACCGGATCGAGGCACAGTGGAAAGATGGAGAGAGAGAGAAGCTACTAGGAGCAAAGGGCATCGCTACTAGGGCTCCTGGCCGTACTACTAGGAACAAGGTTTGCTATTAGAAGCAAGAATTCAATAGAATTAGAATTCAAATTAATCTAAATTGAATTAGCATTGAATTAGTTTTAGTAGCAAAGGAAGCTACTAGGAGCTTTTTTGCGCGCGCACGCGAGAGGACGCTACTAGGAGCAAAGGGCATCGCTACTAGTGGCAAGGACGCTACTAGGGGCTCCTGGCCTTACTGCTAGTAACAAGGACGCTAGTAGAAACCCAATGGAGTTTCGCCAGGAGCCCCTAGTAGCTTCTTTGCTCCTAGTAGTACGGCCAGGAGCCCCTAGTAGCGTCCTTGCTCCTAGAGAGAGAGAGAGAAGGTAAAACAAAGAGAACAAATAAAGAAACCGAAAGGATAAAGAGAAAAGAGCAGCAGAGGCAGAAAAGAAAGAGATACAGTAAACATTAACAAGAAAAGAATATCAAAGGATTCTGCGGAACATTTTTGTTACATGTTTTGTTGCGGTTGCTTTTCATACCAGCACAGAAGTTCAGCTGCTATTCAGCTTCTTGCGTACACTCAAGTTTCCCAAAAAATCTAGGAAGCGCGAGCTATCCTGCTTCCAGTAGCCAAGAGCCAACTTCTCCTTTGTAGGCGCCTATTTAATTAAGTAAGGAGGCAGGGCCACGGGCTGGAACTTTATATTAGGAATAAGAACGCTACTAGGAGCAAAGGGCATCGCTACGAACGGAGCAAGAAGCTACGAACGGGGCGCTCCTGGCCATACTACTAGTAACAAGGTTTGCTACTAGGAGTAAGAAGCTACTAGGAACAAGTGCATCGCTTCTAGTAACAAGTGCCTTACTAGTAGTAACAAGGACGCTACGAACGGGGCTCTGGGCATCGCTACGAACGGGGCTCAAAGACCACACGGTCGCTTGCACCGTCAGGTCCGTGTGCACCAGGACTTTTTGGACTGGGCCAACGACTTCCCTCTGGTCCCAGTGGCAGAGGAGGACATGAAGCTTATGAAGTTCCCTTTATGTTTGGTTTTGATGAGCTTCAGAAGCTAATGGCGATGGCCTCCAACCTATGAGCTTCAAAACGTATGTTAAAGATTCAAACAAAGAAAACCTCGGAGGATGCTTCTCCGCCACCTTTGCCACCTCCGCTTCCGCCGAAAGCATGGGCAGCTGTGGACGACTCGGACGACGTGGGTTATCCAAGTCCAATTGCGTTGCCCAACCCCCGGCTGTGGCAGCAACAGGCTGCAAGCGCTGCGAGCAAGGCGAGGAGTGTTGCCAAAGCAGCTTTGCCCCTCGTGTCTTGGCCGAATTCGCAGCTTCGCCGAAAAGTGCAAAGTGCCGGATGGGCATCGCTACTAGTAGCTGTAGCTCCTGGCATTACTACTAGGAACAAGAAGCTACGAACGTAACAAGGGCATCGCTGGTAACAAAGAGCATTACTAGTAGCAAGGGCATCGCTACTAGGAACAAGGACGCTACTAGGGGCTCGTGGCCTTACTACTAGGAGCAAGAACGCTACTAGTAGCAAGGGCATCGCTACTCATTTGCAGCTTCGCCGCCAAAGTGGTTGGCATCATCAGGCGATGCCGTCGATGCCCAGCAGTCCACCGCCTATAAGCGCCTCTCCTGCGAAGGCTTCAGCAGCTTCACCGGTCTCGCCGTTGCCTCCAACGGTGAAAGCCGGTTCAATGCCACTCGTTTTGACCAAGGCCAATGGCAAAGCCAACCCTCCCGTCCAATGTTGATGTCAGCAATTGAAGCTTGATGGCTCCCTGCTTTCAGAGAAACAAATCCAAACCGACAGTGTCGAATGAGTGTGATTCTTCAATGTGTTCCTTTCTTTTATGTCTTTGGTCTACACCACTTTGTGTCAATCGCTTTAGGTTGTCGATGTCTTTGCCCGGGCAGCAGCCGCTGCACCCGCCAGTGCCCAAAGGCGAGGTGGTGTGGACTCAGATTCAAAAGCCCCTAGTAGCGTCCTTGCTCCAAGTAGCAAGGCCAGGAGCCCCTAGTAGCTTCTTGTTCCTGAAAAGTTGCTGCTAAAAACATAGACTTTTTCCTGGAAGGCCGTGGAGAGGGGAGTAGAGGTTAGGTTGGAGGCCATTGCACTTAGGTTGGAGACCAGTAGTTTGCGAGCTAGATGTATCCAGACGATCCAGGATTCGGAGTTTCAGTCTTGAATCGGTGCCGAAACAGTTGGGGCAAGGAAGCTACTAGGGGCCTAGGGGCTCCTGGCCTCGCTACTAGGAGCAAGGGCCTTACTAGTAGTAACAAGAAGCTATTAGAAACAATAAGCTACTAGGAACAAGTGCATCGCTTCTAGTAACAAGTGCCTTACTAGTAGTAACAATAAATAGAATTTAATTAGAATATAAATAAAAATACTAGCAAAGAAGGCTACTAGGACCTTTTCGCACGCGCGCGCGCGCGGGGGGGGGTAGGAGCAAGGAAGCTACTAGAGGCTCCTGGCATCGCTACTAGGAGCATTCTTACTAGTAACAAGAAGCAACTAGTAACAAGGACGCTACGAACGGGGCTCCTGGCCTTACTACTAGGAGCAATGTTCTCTACGAACGTAACAAGAAGCCAAGTTTGTTCTTTAATTTTCGGGTCAGTCCGAATCCGATTAGGCGCTCCCTCTCGAGCGTCTGGCGCCAGAACGCCTCGAGGCGCCGGGGATGGAAGAGGGCCATGGCATTTGTCAAAGGTATGCATGGTCTAAAATAAAGAAGAAAAAGAAAAGGGTCTAAAGGTCTAGAGAAGACAAGGGAGAAAAAATCCGTTGAGTCTTCCAAATTCCGCATGAAGCGGATGAAATCCGTCAGCTGGGCTGTTTGTCAATCAAGGCAGGTCAGTACTGGTCAAGTCGTTTGTGCTAGGCATGATGGAGAGTGATAGCGACTTGGCTGCGTCACGGTGACTTTTTGGAGAACATATAGCAACAACCATGCTCAGGGAAATTACGCAGTTTGCCATCAAGGCAGGTGTTTACCTGGTGAACAAAAGAGAAGAAGGCCGAAAAGGGATAACCCAATTCTCAGATCCTCGTTTTTGGAGGAAAAGGAATCGCTCAACGTTTGTCGAGTCGAGGAAATGAGTCACCGCCAACGCCAAGAGAGTGATCGCCCTTGCGATCCGCTCGCAGGGGAACTCGGATCAATCCCAGTGAGAAGAAATGGGAGGTTGGACGATTCTTATACTACTAGCTTCTAGCTCCTAGTAGTACGGCCAGGAGCCCCGCTCCTAGTATCGATGCCCTTTGCTACTAGCTTCTTGTACCGACCTGAGACAAACATTGGGACGATTCAACCAAAAACACGCTGCAGTGCAGAGGCACAAGCGATAAGCACGGAGTTCTGATGTCTCCAGGGCTCCCCCTCGCCGTGTCTAGTAGTTCGTTGAAGCCGTTGATTTTAAAAAGGTTGCAAGGAACATCAAGGAACATCTCCAATGAATTTGCAAAGATTAAAGTAGGCATAGGCAAAGTCGCCATTTAGGCGATTGGTGAAGTGCAATGGTCGAAGATGGGGTGGTAGTTTAGTTGATCGTTGTTTGGCCTGAGAAGGGAGGAAAAAGGTCGGAAAGATTAAACTGGAAGAAAGAACATGATTCTTTGGTAACATGATTTGTTTGAAAGATTGGAAATCTTCGGGTCCGACATGGTTAGGTGGTGCGATAGTTTGCCTCACAAGGCAAAGATTTGGTAGAGTTTCATTCGCATCTATTTGCTCAACAGCCGGACCCTCTTGTGATGTTTCATGTTTGAAGCAAAGAACTCAAGGGAAGGAGTGTGGAGGCCATCGCTATTAAGGTGGAGGCCGTCGCTATTAGGGCAGAGGTACTCAAGGTGACTCACTCACTGTCAGTCTTCCTTGCAGCTTTTCTCGTAGATTTGCGAGAAGACGTTGACCAGCAGCAACATGAACACTTTCCAGCAGTAACAAGAAGCTAGTAGGAACAAGTGCCTTACTAGTAGGAACAAGAAGCTACTCGGGGCTCCTGGCATCGCTTCTAGTAACAAGTGCCTTACTAGGCGTCCCAAGATGTGCGCAAGCCAGACATGTGCTTTAGAGTCCAGACAGGGTGCCCCTCGTTGGGGGGGTCCCCAAGTCTACTTTTTCATGTGTTGCTGGAAGCTCAAAATGCAAAGTGCCAAAGTGCACAACTTCGCGCATTTTGAGATGCTCTCGCAGCTGTATCACGTATCAAGGAACATTGGCTTCGAAGGGAAACCTACTAATGGAGCCAACAACCTGGGTGTTCTACGATCTCACAGCATCTGAAGTCTCAAGTGGCTCAATCTGTGAGAGGATCATTTTACCTGAAGCTATATGTGAAAGCTACATTGTACATTAGCGATGGCCTCCAACCTGAAAGCTACATTGTACTGTACATATGCAGAAAAAAAGAGACTCAAAAATGAACTTCTGTGAGACTGTTGGCACTCGGGTTTTGGCACTTAGAGGCCACTGGAGCGGAATTAAGTCGCTCGTGGCTGGGGTGCACCGAATGACAGGGTGAGGTTAAAGGACAATATTTGAAAGAAAAAGTGCTATGAAAGTTGATAGTGAGTAGTTTGAGAGATATTTTTGGGGGGTCAAATGCGAGCGGCGTTCCGTGTGACACAAGATTCTATTCTCAAGGTTGAAAGACACTATGAAAATTCAGTTAGCTACTAGGAACAAGAAGCTTCTTGTTACTAGCAGTATGGCCAGGAGCCCTTAGTAGCGTCCTTGCTCCTACTAGCGATGGCCTCCAAGCCTTAAGTTTCCCTAAAAATCTAGGAACTAAATCATTAGTAGGAGCGCTTCTTCAAGGAAGCGTGAGCTATCCTGCGTCCAGTAGCTACTTAAGCTAATAGCTACCTCTTCTACTAGCTATTTAATTAGCTACCTAGCTACCTCTACTCACGGCCTACCCCCCGCCTCCTTTAAAGAAAAAGCGTTGTTTCTTAATTTTCAAAGAGAAAGGCTCGGAGATAACATGGAACTGCTCGAAGTTTGACCGAAACCGCCCTGCCGCAGTGTGGCTCGATTTTCTCACGGCTCACCTGGATTCAAGACGGATTCGGCGTGCTCGTGCACCAAAAAGGCGGAAACGTCGGGCACACCGGTGAATCACCACTCGAAAGACAAGAAAGAAGCCAAGGAAAAAACATAAATTTGTTGATTTCAGAATGTGTTGTTTTCATGTGTTTTTAAAAACATTGTCTAGAAATATAAAAGACAGTTGAAAGAACAATTTTTAGAAAGACATCGCGACCATCATGCCCTCAATTGGTTTTGCACGTTGGCCGTTTTCAGCTCCAAGCTTTGCGCCTGACGTGTGAGCAGCTCCAATGGTGCGTGCTTGAAGGCAACAAGAAATGAACAAGAAGATGTTGAAATGTTGCTTTTTTGTTGAGAGGATAGTTCACTCTTCGTTTGCATTCAATTTCCATTCAGACTTCTGTCCTTTGTGCACGGATTGGATTGTCCTAATTGCCCCGCGCACTTGAGTTTGGCGAGGTCTCGTGTTGGGAAGAGACAACGCATAGAACATATTTCAACATTTTTAACCTAGCTCCGCACGGACACAAGAATAGCAATAGCCTCCAAAAAGAAAGGAAAAGAAAGAAAGAAAAGAGATGACAAAAAATTGAGAAGCAATGGTTTCCATCCTAATAGCAATAGCCTTCATTCCAATAGAAATGGCCTTCAACCTAACACCGATGGGCTCCAACCTAGCTCCGCACGGACACAGTGGACACAATATAAGCTGTACTGTTTGCATAACATGCCAATTCAGCCTTAAAAGTGATAAGCTTGGCAACTAGGAGCAAGGACGCCACTAGGAGCAAAGGACATCGACTAGGAGCATGCTTGGAACAAGAAGCTAACCACCTGGAAGATGCAAATCATCTTCAACCCACAGAGATTTCCATCAACAAGAAGCAAGGGCTACTAGGGGCGCTCCTGACCTTACTACTAGTAACAAGAAGCTACTAGGAACAAGTGCATCGCTTCTAGTAACAAGTGCCTTACTAGATGAACATCAGCTCGCCATGCGGCTGCAGCTTCGACACTAGGCTCCGCATGGCGGGAGACGGGGACGATGCGGTTGGGATGGGTTGGACGATCGACACCGATGTACAACTCTTGTCGTCTTGGCCCTACCTCCCGTTCGTAGCGTCCTTGTTCCTACTAGTAAGGCACTTGTTACTAGTAGCGATGCCAGGAGCCCCTAGTAGCTTCTTGTTCCTACTAGTAAGGCACTTGTTACTAGTAGCGATGCCAGGAGCCCCGTTCGTAACGTCGCTCCTAGTAGCTTCTTGTTCCTAGTAGTACGACCAGGAGCCCCTAGTAACGTCGTTGCTCCTAGCGGCTTCGACCTCCTAGGGCAGGGAATCATTTCCCTTGCAGACTTGAAGAGCGTGGAGCGTAAAACCTTTCTGGTTGTTTGTTCATGTACAGGGTGGAGGCCGCTACCAGGGTGGCACAAACTGGTTTGTGTACTTTGGTGTTGAATGACTTCCAGTCACTGAGCCTCAAAGACAACAGCATGTTAAGGGTCCAAGATAAATACAGTATTCGGAAGAATGAAGGTAAGACATCACCTTGCCATTTGTGTACTCAGATTACATGCACGGCCTCGTCTTTGCTTGCACAAGCGCTAGCCGCTAGCGGTGAATCCGTCTGAGGACGCTCAGATCCCACGGAGAATCCGTCTGCGTTGCGCCAGACTTTCAGTTGAGGTATTTTCTCCCAAACAGGTGTTAAGCAGTGCTCAGATCGTCGCGCGGGCGTGGACGGCTAAGTCGCTGCTTCGACTGCGCAGGCTCGCGAAATCTGGGTGGCGGCGGCGAGTGCTTGTCGCGACTGCGCTCTCGTTGTGGTGCCGCTCGCATTTTCGTGGCAGGCGCAAGGGAAACCTGGTGCTTTGGTGGTTGGAGCATACCTCTACGAGAATGCTTCTTCTTTGTCCTAAATTTGAACATGTCTTTCTTTCTTTTCTTTCCTTTTCTTTTCTGTCCTTTCCTTTTCTTTCCTTGTCTTTTTTTATTGCCTTTTCTTTCCTTTTCTTTTTTTCTTGTTTTTCTTTCCTTTTTTTTCCTCTTCTGTCTTTTTCTTTCTTTCTTCCTTCCATATTCTCGTACTAATTAAATTTGCACAATCTTGGCAGACTCGACATCCGACCTCTAAAGCCTCTAAAGGTGGCGGTGAATAAGGTCACCTGCCAAGGCGGCCTGACACATCTGAATATGTTCTAGTAACAAGGGCATCGTTAATATGATGTAGAGGCCTGGACGCCGCTTGGAATGGGCTTTAGGTGTTCCCTTGTGTGGCATGCGACTGATGTTGTTTCCGTTGGTTTTGTGGGTCTAAATTGGATTGGTTTCGGTTTAGGTGAGTTCGTGACAGTTGATGTGACAATTTGTTTTTTTGTTTGGTTTGAAAAAAAATTAGTTGGCTGGTTTGCAGCGTTGTCATCCAGTCTGCTTCAGTTTGATTCGGTTTTGGGGCATGGCTTTGACCTGCATCGTTGCTGCTGTGCTGATGTGCCGGGTGTTGGCAGAGCCCAGCCAGCGAGGAAGTAAAGGAAACATCACTGGAGTGAACATTGGCAACAGTTCCATAGATCGCTCCCTTCGAGTCTTACACGGCTGGCCGCATCCTGGGTGTTGCACTGGCTGCAATCATTTTTGCTTTCCCAACAGCGGAAGGTGCTATGACAAGAAGGGCAAGTACTACTACCTCGAGCGCAGCCCAAGCACTGGTGGAGAGCACCAGGACTGCTGCAGCAAGTGTGGTGCATTTTGCTCTCCCAATAGTGGCAGCTGTTACGCTGGGAAAAGCCAGAGTTACTATTTGGATTGTCGGTCGTACTACTTTGTCGGGAACAAAAGGTGCAATCTTTTCCGTGGCAATGGCATGATCGACTACACCCCCAAGGTGACTTCAGCGACAGATTGCCGTGTTGCTTGACAGAACACCCCTTCCTGTAAGGTCTTCAATTATGCGGCACCTGGTACGGCCTGCGGTGGTGGTCCAACATGCCAGCTGTTCCGCGAATGGTGCTCCTCTGGGTTTACAGAAGATCCATCCTGGGAACTGTATAACCTAGATTGAAACTGAATTGTGAACCAGCTGGCACAACAGTCCTGGCAGACAACAACGACCGCACGCAGGAATTTTGCGCTTTTGCACTTTGCCCATGTCAGATGTCTTTTCTGACTGCATAGAATGGAAAGCTCTTGTAATTAAAGTGCGATCACCCATTGTAAAGCATGATGGGTTACAGGCCCCGATGTTCAAGCCACGGCTTGCACAGGCATGGACTCGGAGAAGGTGATGGCGTCAGCAAACAGACCTCACTGACTGCGTCGTGACTTGCCAACCGGCAAAAGACACGCTTTGGCTTCGACTCCTTCGACCTTGTTGCCACTGCCAAAGAAGGAAGTACTGTATGCGTGAACACAGCAACCAATGAGGCTAGATCAATCGACTGTAAAATCAGACAATTAGTAGCGATGCCCTTTGCTCCTAGTAGCGTTATTGTTCCTAGTAGTAAGGCCACGAGCGCCCCCTACTAGTGGCGTCTTTGCTCCTAGTAGCGATGCCCTTTGTTACTAGTAGCGTTATTGTTCCTAGTAGTAAGGCCACGAGCGCCCCCTACTAGTGGCGTCTTTGCTCCTAGTTGGATCTGGTACATTGACAGGTGACGTTGCGACCCATGCTGTGGCAAGGCTTGTTTGGAGGGAACTTGTTTCGCTGTTTTGTGCTGTTGAAGGCCATCGCTATTAGGTTGGAGGCCATCACTATTAAAGCACTTTTTTACGCAAAAAATGCTTTGAAGACGTGTATGTGTCTTTCCCACCCTTTTCAGGGCTTCAGAGTCTTTCTGGCGCTTTGAGTTTTTGCCCACAGAACCCAGCAGCTGTCAATCAGCACAGCGAGATCTCACTTTGAGCATTCTGAGACTTTTCCTAGGAAACTAGGAAACGCATATTGCAACCTCACCTTGAAGCGTGCGGCGAGGCACTTGGAAACCATGTCAAATCTAAGTCCGTCAAGGGCAAGAAGTGCTTTTAGCCCAGAACTGTGCACAGAATATCCAATCAAGAACACCAGCCTAGCGGTAAGATGCCTGGTGCGCAATCGCCATGGGATGTGGCTGTGTGAAGGCGCGCAGAACACCACAAGTCGTGTTCGTTGTGAAAATGGAAGATTTTGCAAACCATTTGGAAAGCCGAGACTAGCAACATTACTTGTAACAAGATGGTAACACATCGCTAGTGCGGGTAGCTTCTGGAGCACCACAAACAGAAGCTGACACAATGTCGGCGTTATAGAGCTCGATGCACTTTGAACAATGATATGGGCACTGTTTTAGCCACAGCGATCAAAGATATGGCGAGAGCGATATGAACCGCGCTGACAAAAACTGGCGGCTGTCCTTTTCACTTCGAACCAAGAAGCTTCATGAACACTCTATGGCTTGGGTGTGAATGAGTTGATGGAAACCACATGCCCCCGGGATCCTCCGGCTCGTCCGGCTTCGACTTGAGCGCCTCAGCGCGTTTTCCATCTTGCTCCATTTAAAAGAACCTTGTCAACTGTTGGTGTTCCCCTTGGTTTGTGAGTGAGTTTTTGCTAGCTGTGCTTTTGACAGCACCCAGCGTAAAGCTAGGTTGGTCTCTTCCATGGCCTGCTTGAGGCCTATCAGACACACGACGCTCTGGTCCTTTAGGAACATAGACCTCATGCTTCAGTTTATCGTAGACATTGGTGGCATCTGCCAGCAGGACTGAAGGCACTTTAGCAACTTGAAGTCGAACATTCACGTGTCCTCCACACATTTCAAAGAAGTGAAATCTCACTGCGTGCAAAAGGTCCTGACAGGGCGGCCAAACTCCCAACCGCTCCTGGACTACAACATTGTCGTGTCATCTTGGCTGACTGCCAACTCAGTGGACTGACTTGGCACATCTCCCCATCTAATAACCTCTTCAGGTGGCACGAATGGAAAACTTACCATCAACCACCCTCTTTTGACACGCAGTGTCGGCCAACCAGCGACTTGAGACCTGGTCAAACGTCATGCTTCCAAACACCTGGATCGCATTTTTCTCGTTGGCCCTCATGGTCCGGACCGCGCTGGTGTTTACCTGCGACAGCAGCAGGTTCACACCAGCGTTCGACTGCGGTTGTGTCAGTTGTGCGCACCAGGAATCAGGACAGGGCACTGAGTGCTGCCCTGAGCCGAGACTTCTCTCGGTCCGTTGTGGGCGAGCCTGGTTGTTTGCGAGGTTCGGCTGCCAAACTAAGCTCTTTGACATCTTCGATGTACTGAGTTTGTGACAGTTCGAAACTATAGTCACCCAACTGCTGCACGAAAACCCCACACTGAGTAAAGGAAGAACTTTTCCACAAAATTGAACGAAATTTTTTTGATTTGTTCACACAAGTTTCAAGTCTTGTGGGCTATAGACCTCTTGCCGATATGAGCGCGAGTTTCTTGCTACGAAGGCTTTCTCCGCAACACGCATTCGCTCGTGATTCCTGTGGAATTCTCCAGGGCTAATATTTTCACACAAGACTTGAGGGAGATCTCGCAATTGACTCACACGCAGTCGTCCCGGCATCCGGCGAGCGGCCCAGGAGTGCTGAGCGGGTGAAAAAGCCCTCACAATCTCTTTCTTGGTTGCCCCCGAATTGCTTCCGCCAGTACCTCTTCTGCTGTGAGTTGCTGAGAATTTGGGTCAGCTCGAATTGTGTCATTGCCACTGCGCTAAGCTTAGGCGCCGAAGCCCACGTAATCCTGTTGATGTCCATGACCATGTAGGCATGTTCCAACGCCTTGAGCTTCAACTTCTCCACGGTGTTATGTGGGCTCACATTTGCCAATGGTTTTCTCTATGTATTCGATCCGGGTGGACTGGCGCCACCCTTTTGGAGCGGTCTCTCCATCCTTCAATTACTTCCGGAGAGCGGCCAAAAGGTCATATCGGCCAGCGCTGCCATGTTGGTAGTGGCAATGCGTCAAACACGTGGAGAGGCGCAAGCATCACTTTGCGGCACTCGCTGCGCCGCCGAATGTGAAATGAGACTGTCGCGACGTCCTTCACTTGGAAATGGAAACTCACAAAGCTGACATGTTTCCCGTGACACTGACAACAGTTTAGACTTTAATTGAAATCTGGTTCAATGGTTTGTCGGGTTTCTGACATCTTTGGTTCAACCATGTCCCCCGCACCGAACGAACTCGTTAAGAGCAAGGCTGAAACGTCTAAGGATCTAGGCTGGCTAAGGTCGGAACCATTGAGCTGTAGAATCTAAGGTCTTCACTAAGACCGGAACGGTGCGGGCGGTGTTGTTCGCACGCTGTTGCTGCCTTGACGCGGGATCTGGTTCAGGGCCTGGGCCTGATTTCGTTCCGAGTTCCTTTCCCGGTTTTTTCCGCTGGGTGTCTTCGGTCCTTTGGAATCCAAATTTCCTTCGCACCCATCATTTCCTCCTACCCCACTCTCACGGCAGGCTCACGAGCAGAAAGGTGTGACAGCTGGGACGCTTGGTTAAACGCGTCTTTTGTCAGCGGCACCACTTGGTCGCCTGCAGCTCCTGCGCGCTCGAGGTGAAGCAACTTTCAATCGTCGTGCACATGCCGACAACAGCAAATCATTCTCAAAATCAACGACCGCCTGGCCTGTAGCTTTCGAAGAGACAGACTTTATAATTGGTACGCATCCCTTGCCGAGCGCATGAACCTTGAGGAGGTTGTCCCGACCGTTCATGAGGACTTCTAAACAAGCCGTGGATGTGCACTGGTCTTGGGATGCATTGCCGAAACCGAAGCCGGGGAGTGAACGCCGCGTTCCACTACCTTTGACAAAGCATGCACCGAGCAATGGTACGAGTGGCTCCCCCATCGATCACCGCTTCCCCTGTTCAACCACCTTGGAGGTAGTCAGTCTCGCGCTCCAGACCAGAGTCACGACGTGTTCCTGAGTGGCTGCATCAATGCCCAATGATTCAGGAAGGAAGACAAAAGGCGCGAAAGCGCTTCATTGTCCCTTGTTGGGTCTAGGTCGGACCGGACCGGGAAATATTGCGTCACCGTCTTCACGAGTTCTGGCTTCTTTGAGGGTCTTTCGCCCCCTGGATCATAGCATATGCTTCTTGAGCCCTTTGGCCCTTTGGTCCTCTGTCATCATGGCCTCCACATCTTCCTTCAAGTATCCCTCAGACAGAAGTCCTTCAGGATCGCATTCCCAAGACATGCTAGCCAGTCTTCTTCTGGTCCTCAATCATGTTGGCAAAGTTCTTGATCACGTCTCTTCAGATCACTGTGCACTTCACACGCTGAATCTGAAACTCCCTTGAAGTTCAGCCTGGAGTACATTCCTCTCCATGCGACGACGCGATGTATTGGTGCCTCCTGACCTGACGCAGCTCCCATCGGTTGCAAGGAAGATCCACGATGGCTCCACCCCGGGCTATCTTGCGCGCATAATCCTGAAATCTTGCCATTGACTGCTGGGCCTCGGCCTTGCGAGTCACTGGACTCGCCACGAAGTCGCCTGGTGCGTTTGAAGTACTTCATGAGGAGCTTGCTCATCTTTGCTACTTTGGCTCACCACGCTCAGCTCTAAGAACTTCAATCAGCCAGCAAACACCCCCATCATAGGACAACCCATCAGCGGGGCGGCCTATCAGAACTCGTTTGGCAGGACCCCGTAGTTCATTTGCAATGCTTGGACCACACAAACGGCGCTTCTCCTTGACGATTGTTTGCTCATACTTCAAACAAGCCCCCCATTCCATATCGGAATGCCATCCTTGTTCTTCTGCAAGCTACTCCCATACTCAGCTCGGCCTGGCGGAGCTGAGTACATCCCCTGTGAGCCTTCGGTAGGCTCCGCTACCATGCGGGTAGCCTTTGGAGCACTACAAACAGAAACTGACACAACGTCGGCGTTATAGAGCTCGATGCACTTGGACCCATGTGATGTTATTGGCACTTCCCCCAGTGACAGCGATCAAAGTATGGGGATCGCTACTCCTAACAATAACGGTTTTCTCAGCCATGCCCTGGCGACGTTCTAAATAGAAAGCATTCTTCTACGACGAAAAGATATCTCGGGCACCTGGCCCCAGACACTTTCCAGAAGCATTCCTTTTTAAAGAAATATGGTCTAAAGGTCTGAATAGAAGAACGAAAGAAGCGAAAGAGTAACAAGGGCATCGCTACTAGTAGCTCTTGGCATTACTAGTAGGAACGAGAAGCTACTAGTAGCAAAGGGCATTACTGCTAGCAGCTCCTCTCACCTAGTGACAGGGGCATCGGGGGCTCAAACCTATAGAGGGGTAAGGCATTGCAAACCTGACACAACCGTTTTTCACTTGCAGGTCGTAACGTTCAGAAAGAGTTGCAATTAAAACCATGCATTTGTTAAGAAACGTTCACACCCAATTAAATGCCTCACACAAGAACAGGAAAGAAAGGTCAAGGGGAAGACAAAAAAGCAGAAGAACAGAAGGGGCCGAAAAGGCTGCGAATGGCTGCGGGGTGTGTACGGGTGCCACGCACGCGTGCCACCACCAGACGAAGTGTTTCTTGCCTTTAAGGTCGCATTTCTTGTTTCAAGTGGAGTTGCTAGAGCGGAAAACCGTGTTGAGGCGTCTTAGTTTCCATTGTTTCCGCCTCAAACGCAGTCTTGACGAACCAGATTGTTTGCGGCGTCGTATAATTTTCTGCATCGTGGATTCACATTGGGACCGTTGCTCCAAGAAAGTCGACGCAGTCTTTGCAACTCTTGAAATATGACATGACGTTTCCCTAAACATGTAGGAACCAAATCATTGGAGGCGTGAGCTATACTGCATCCATGTGTAATAGTTTAAGTAGCTAGTAGTTTATTTCCTTACTTCATCAAGTAGGCGCGTGGACGCAGGATAGTTAATGTTTCTTCAAGGAAAACGCCTTGCATCTGCACGTGATCAGCGTTGAAAATATAGCGTCCGGGAACCATCTGCCAGAGCAGCCACTCCAACAATTCCAGCGCCCGCGAGTCTCTAGTTTTTTGCTACTAGTAGCGATGCACCTTGTTCCTGGTAGTTTCCTGCTACTAGTAGCAATGCCCTTGTTACTGGTAGCTTTGCACAAGTAATAGCAATCATTAAGTTGCACCTCTTACTAGTAACAAGTGCATCGCTATTGGAAAAGCAAGCCACTGTGGCTCGACAGAAGGTGATACGATGCCATGGTGGTTCAGCACGCGCACGTGTTTTACTGCGGCGTGCCAGCGTGGGCAGCTGCCTGGCGGGCAGCCTGCCATCACAGGTCAGGAGCTACTAGTAGCGTCCTTGCACAAGTGCATAGAATGGTTGCTTGCGATTTGCCGGCCAATGGATGTGTTCATTGATTTTTCTATGTTCCTCCGACTATTCCGTCTACATGCCACGCACAACGTCAAAGAAGACTAGACTGACGAACTGAAGAGATGAAGGAGACCGTGATTGACTCTTTTCTGTCGCCTCAACAAAGGATTGCCTTGGAAACGCGATGCACTTCCAGGGAATTAAGAATAAGGTTGAAGAAGCTACTAGGAACAAGTGCATCGCTTCTAGTAACAAGTGCCTTACTAGTAGTAACAAGAAGCTATTAGAATAAAGAATAAGGTTGAATAAAGAATACAGCATAATGAATTTCTTGGATGCGTCAAGGAGATGCGCAACTTCACGTGCTTCACTTTTCCGTGCCTTGCTGCTCACGTTTTTCCCTTCCATCTCACCCGTGGTCTTAGCTTCAATTTGTTGTCTACAGTGCTGTTTTGTTCGGTTCATCAAATCCTGACTGGATGTAAATTAACGAACTCCATGCTAAATGGACTAAGTACAAAGAAGCTACTAGGGGCTCCTGGCATCGCTACTAGGAGCAAGGAATGGTGAAGTACTGTGTGCGACGCAGTGCGAATCGTGAGCAGCCTCTGGAGGGCACGTCCGTTAGCACGTCATCCAGCGCTCGAATTAGCAAGGGAGTCGCTATTGGAAGCTTGGGCGAAAGTAGCAGCTACTGCTTGGGAGTTTTCAAAATTTGAGGGAAACTAATAACCTTCTCATCTCACCCAGCGACCTGCTGTTCCGCACGAACGGTTGCGAAGGGGCGCTGAGAAGGCACGGAACGAGCGCACCACGTTCACACAAAAATTGCGGCGCAACAATATCGGGCATCGATTCATCGCATCTTCTTGTTATGAGAAAAGCCCAGCCCTCCCTGTTGTTTCTGAATTTCCGCAGGCGGGCATTGAGTTCAGCATCACTTGCTAGTGGAAACAAACAGTCTTACTTTTTGCAAGAATGTGTAAATGAAAAACTTGAAATGTTTGTCCATATCAACACTATGTCAGGAATCTGCCGTGGAACCAGGGCAGCCAGTGCATGATGGCACTACAACTGGAAGGACAGAGCTTAGGTTTTTCAAATCCAGTCAAGTCGAAGACCGAAGGCCTACGGCGAAAAGTTGACTGTTGGAAGTGTGTTCTTGTGTTTTGGCATGCGTTAGCTTTGATTTGTGGCTTGACCGTTTGATCCCACGACTTCTTTTGATGCCTGGAGTTTGTCTTGGCCAAGCACCTTTGCACTTGTTTCGCTAATCTCCGCAGGACCATCAAGGTGGGTGGTTTCAAAGGCGGCCGCCCTACATTGGCGGAATTGCAGAAGTTGAACATCCCAGGTGACTTGCAAACGGTCTGAACTTCCTACTTTTTCAAGTCGCAGCAATGCCTAAAAATTTGCCAACAACATGTGTCTCCTGGAAGTTGGTGGGCACTTTTCTTTAAAGAGACCAATGAGACCAATGTTTGGTGCTTGTTTTTGTTGTTGTCGTTGATGTTGGTGATGGTGGCGGTTGGTCCGTTTTTCTCAGACCTGCCGATTGCAGCAAATCTTCACAAGACTTCCAAAACCAGACTTCGTGGCTTTAAACAGAAAAGTGAAAAGCAGATCTTGGACTCTTGGGCCTCGAATTTCTCATCCACTTCACTGAAAGGCGAAACTGATCGTTTTGGTGTGTGGAGGGCAGGACGCTAGTAGTAACAAAGGGCATCGCTACAAACGGAGGAAGAAGCTACTGGTAGCTCCTGGCCTTACATACTAGTAACAAGGATGCTACTAGGATGGAGGCCATTGCTAGTAGGTTGGCTGTGGAGGTATGTCCTGTTTTGGCCCTGGAGTGGCACAGGACTAGACACTGACTGCAGCTACACGGGCCTGCAAGATCGCTTTGCGCGAAACTTCTTCACCATTGCTCCTAGTAGCGATACCAGGAGCCTCTAGTAGCTTCTTGCTCCTAGTAATGTGTAAAGAGAGTCAGCACAAGGGCCAATTCAGAAATACGCCTGCTGGCCCTTCTTGCCCTTCTTGCCCATGCTGCCCCATGCTCTTTTTGTCTTTGTGTGTGTGTGCCCTGGACGAGTTTGACAGTGTGGTAGGCCTAGATGAGCAATTGGGCAGCGATAAAAAGGCGCGCCCAGTGGGGCCGGTGCAACGTGGAACGACATGGAACGAGTAGCTAGAAGCTACTAGAAAACAAGTGCATTACTATTAGCTATTTGATATTGTATGGAATGAACACGTGTTGTGCCTTGTTGCAACTTGGCCAGCTTGAGCAACGCTTCAAATCATGTCGAGGCCTTTGGAAGTGACCAGACTTCCGGAAAAGGCCTCCGCTCTGGCGCAAGTTGCTTGGAAGTTTTGGAGAAGCGCAGCTTGACTGCACCCGCTGTTGAAATTCTGTTTTTGTTCCTTTCAAAAAAAAATCACTGACTTAGCTCCAGTCTTTGATCGCTTCTGGCCGAAGACTTTTCAGAACCTCTCTTCTTGGAGTTTGTGTGTTTGTGTGTGTGTGTGTCACACTCCGTTTCCAGGAGTTCGTAACCTACCTTTCACCCACAAAGTTTCGCAGGGGGCAGTGACAGAGTTTGTGAAATCACTGCCAACGAAGATGTCCACATTCTCTGGTGATGCATCGGGAGACGTCCTGATGTGTACCTGCGATTGGAACTGTTGAGCCCGTCCGCTGTTCTCGTTTTGCATGGTGGTTCTCCATGATACTCCCCCAAACAGGTTTCCCTCCGCCGCTTTCAGCTGCCGCACTTCCACTGTCAACACTGTTGAACATTTCAGCTGAGCCGACTTTGCGCCTTTCCGTTCCCTCATCCATTTTACTGTGGATTATGATTAACTGCAAACCCTGTGACTAAGTGTGTGATTGGTTGGAAAGAAGTGGTGTCCAGCACGCAAGGGCTCGTGCCAAGGCATTGTTCTTTTGTGGCACAACTGTAAAAGAGGAAAGACTGTGAAGAATAACAGAGTGCTTAGCACTTTTGACATGGTTTCTTTTGTGTACGTTTGTGTGTGTGCGCGGGAGGTTACGTTGCTGCCAAATGTGTTCTTCTCACTGGAGCTCTTTCCTAGGTTGACGTGAGGAAAAGTCAAGGGTTGGAAAACAAGAGCTTCTTTACTTGATGCACTGGGCCGGATTTTTCTCAAAAAAGACTGGATTTGGGGACTTGGCGTGCCACCCAAGGATCTGTACTTGTGGCTGTGAGGGCGCGTCCTCTGAATGATCGAGAGAAGACGGCCGCATCGGGGGAGTGCCTGACTTTTCAGGCGATGCCGTTTTCGTGTGGCCGGGGTAGGCCGAGGTAGCTAGTAGAAACTAGTAGAAGCTAGGTAGCTACTACCTTACTAGTACGCCACTAGGAACTGGACGCAGGATAGCGCTCGCACTAATCATTTGGTTCCTACTTTTTTAGGGACACCTAGTATCTAATTATAGTGGTCTTGGCGAAGGTCAAAGTAGTTTGCGGAGTTTGCGTTACAGATGGTTCATATAAGCAGGATCGTAGTGGCCAAACAGCAGGGGATACCTATCAAAAAGAAAATTGATTCCTATCAAAAAGAAAATTAATTCCTATCAAAAAAACATAAATTCGTATCAAAAATAAAATTCCCCCTACTCGTGCTGGTTCCCTGGTCGCTTGGTCCCTTGGTCCTCTGGTCCCTTGGTCCCTTGGTCCCCTGGTCCCTTGGTCCCTCTGGTCCCTTGCTCCTCTGGTCCTTTGGTCCTTCGTCCTGGTCTTCGGGTCCTTGGGTCTGTACTTTCGAGGCAAGACGCGTTAAAGGTGATTTGGAAATCTGGTCATACATCCTGTGAAGCACCGTAGCAGACCTTTTATTGCCAGACGTAGCACACCCTTTTTTTGTGAGCCACCCTGACGGTAAAATTTAGACGAAGAAAGTGCCATTCCAAGGTAGCAAACCTTTTGTGAGCCACCTGAGGGCAAAATTTTGAAGAGGAAGGAGCCATTCCAACGTTGCAGACCTTTTGTTAGCCTTGCGAGGTTAAAACTTAGAGGAAGAAGTTGATATTCCAACGTAGCAGGCCTTTGTTTTGTGAGCAACGCGAGGGTAGAATTTGCTATTCCGACGTAGCAGGCCTTTTGTGAGCCACCCGGGGATAAACTCTAGGTGCCACGCCAAGGTAGCAGACCTTTTGCGAGCAAAATTTAGAGGAGCAGTAGACCTTTTGTGAGCCACGCGAGGGCAAAATTTACAGGAGCAGACCTGTTGTCAGCATAAACTTTGGAGGAGGAAGGTGCCATTCCAACATAGCAGACCTTTTGTGAGCCATCCACAGGTCTTGTGGTTTTGTGAGCCATCGTGAAATTCAGAGAGATCACGGTTGAGATGCAGAGAGGTCTACATCTACAAAGATCCAGAGGCCTGGAGATCCAGACGGATCTGCAGGTGTAGGATAGACCTAAAGATGGAGGTTTAGAGGTTTTGAGTCTTGAGATCCAGGGAGGTGGTGAAATCTAAGTTCTAGGCGTCTATACTTGCAGAGGGTGTAGAAAGATGTTCAGATCCAGAGATATCAAGAGCTCTTTTCACAGGTCTTCAGATCCATAGAATTCTACAAACGCCACGCAAACTGCACTACAAGGTTCGCAATCGCTGCGCTTGCCACGAAGTCTGCGCTTCTGGACAGAAGTTCAAGCAATCTGCACTTCGAGGTTCACGAAGTGCTGCACCTGCCATGAAATCTGCAGTTCCAGTGCGCAAAATGCTGCGCCTGCCACGAGCCCTGCAACTGAAGGTGCTCAAAGTGCTGCGTGCAAAGTTCCGCTCCTGCCACGAAACCTGCTACTGGAGGTGCTCAAAGTGGTGCGCCTGCCACGAAATCTGCAGTTCCAGCGCACAAAGTGCTGCTCCTGCCACGAAATCTGCTACTGGAGATGCTCAAAGTGCTGCCCGCGCCACGAAATATGCACATCCAGATTCACATCGCGCAGCGCTGCCAAGGCGGTTTGCAGTGGCAGGCGCAGCTCTTTGTGAGAGATATTTTGTTTTTGATACAAATTAATTTTCTTTTTGATAGGATATAGAAATTTTCTTTTTGATATATATTAGTTTTCTTTTTGATAGCCCGGCCAAAAAGCAGTGGGGGGCACGGCGCTTTCACTTGCGAGACATGAAAGGTGCCAAAACTAAACGGATCTCTCTCCAGTTATATAAGTCTAATATAGTTTGCTACTAAGTTGGAGGCCAGGCCATCACTATTAGGTTGGAGGCCATCACTATTAGCTTGGAGGCCATCGCTATTTGAAGCATTCTTGTTAAGAAAGGTCTAAAAGGTTAAGTTTCCAGAAAAATCTAGGAAGAAAATGAATAGTGCAAGGGCTTTCCTGTTTCCAGTAGCTAGTAGTTTTTTTTAGCTTAGTAGCCTGCTTGTGTTGCTTGGCTGTGTTCAAGCTACTTACCCCCTTACCCCGCCTTGCCCCTTTTCATATAAAAGAAAGGACACACTGACATACTTGTATGTGTATGTCCGTGAGGATGCCACAGGCTTAACCCTGCACCGAGATGATGACAGAGAACATCGCTTCGCCTTTGATTGCGTGATGTCTCAAGATGTTGGTCAGCGCGAAGTATACGAAGCCGTTCCTGCACTTGACGTGTTATTCGGTTTTGATGTGACATATTGGATTAGAAAGCCAATTGCTAGAATTATAGTGTTTTTTTACGTCGCAGGCCGAGCAGATTGCCTTTCTGAAAAATCTTTAGGGGAGTGGCCGGTCAGCTCTTGTGATTTGCAAGGACAGGACAGCACGACCATTGCTGCACAAAGTCCTAGAAGGTTCCGACCTCAGCCAATTCAAACAATGAGCATGAGCGAGCATGAGGTAGTGAAGCGGCAAAAATCCAACAACCTCGCAATCGCGCGCTTGTCGAGGGAAGAGAAGCTAGTCGTAACAAGTGCATCGCTACTAGTAACAGGTGCCTTACTACTAGTAACAAGAAGC